CTTATTTATCATTAGCAAAGGTTCTTAATTTATGCCTTTGATTAGCGGTTGTTTTGTATTTATATTTGGGTGGTAAGAGCAACGATCGTGGGTTTCTCTGCCATGCTCTTTCCCCGCAGGAGCTCTAGGTGAGCCTGGCACTCTCATTCGATGTTAAATGGTTGTTAATGTTTTTGTTGTTCTTTCTATTTGTCACATGTTTAATTTGAATTGTATGTAAATAAAGGTTAGGTGTATTTACTCTGCTTTTGTTTTATATAATTAAACCATACATCCCCTCTACAAAGTTAGTAGCCAGCGCCTTCCGGTCAATTAAAAATGGATACACGCAACGTAGGTAGTCCTTATGACGATCACATATTTTTGGCCACAACTACGTTTATTTATTTTCGAACCTAGGGTTGTTATACTACAGCACAATACATGAATAAAGTGGCTCTCATTAAATGAGGTATTTTGTTTTCATTGTTGAATTACAAGTTTAATCCTCCTTTCGGATTTTATGAGCTTTGTTTGTTGTAGTAAAAGTACACATTCTAAAAAATATCTAGAATTTTTTGGATTAGTGTTAGTATATTAGAACATATTTATATCTGTTGTAGTTTTTGAGAAAAATTAATTTGAAAAATAATAACCTCTGCACGTTATCTCAAATGTAGTTTGAAAACAGGTGCTAAAAGCGGTTATGTATGATGTTTTCATTGTATGCTAATATCAAAACATATTATTTTACACATTAGTCATATCACCCTGCTTATCTGGCTAAACCTTTTGTTATGTTTACCGAAATGAGTTGGATTAATCAAAAAAGTTGAACCATAATCAAACGTGTGTCGTTCAATGTTTCATCTTTAATAATAATATTTACTGTAAATTTCAAGAACCAAATGATTTATTTTCATCCTTAAACAATGCGATTGAAGTTCTTGTTGCTATGTAACGGTTTGTCCCTTATTGTAAAAAAACCTTCCGACATTCGTCATTAAAATATAGAGAGAATTATTGCTATACATATAATATTTAAAGATAAATCGATAGTGTTCTATTAGATTTTGAAGCAGCTGCGGTTCCAAGATATCAAAAGTTTAATTATAGAATACATTACTTAATTTTTACGAGAAGCAGGCGATAAAATCTATCTTATGAACAAGAATCAATCTATCTTATCAATAGAATTTTCTGATGCTTGTAGGCGTAAAGAGTTAACAAGGACACAAAACTCAACGTGTTTTTTTTTGTTGCCGGTGGAAATATTGAAGGATCGAATTTGGAGGAAATGATCAAAAATTACAGAGCATTTGGGACAAGCAGTAGTAGACTGCTACTACTGCTTTTGGGTACTGACCCACCATAACCATAACCAGTTTTTTAATGGAGTCAAACATGGTACAGTGTACTCGACAATCAGTTGGAGTTAACAAGTTTGCAAAAATGTCAATGTCAATCGCATCCCTTTCGGAAATTCTAGATGTGGAAAAATATACAGAACATTGTTTCCGAAGATCATCTAAAAATTCTAATGAAAATAAGAAGCAAACAGCATCAAAAGTTTTGGGTGAAATATGAATGCTTTAACGAGCAGCTGGAGTCAGGAAATCAATTTTATTTCCATTCCTTATAAGAAGAACAACAGTGCTGTTTGAAAAATGATGCTTTCATACTTCTTAACAGCACTGAAATTTGATGTCATTCTGTGTCAATAATGACAGCGTCGTAAGTAAAATCTAAAACAATACGAAAAACTGTATTAGCCCGTTACTCTGCAAATTCTATTTTACATTGAAAACAGTGTTCAAATAAATATTTAGATAACAACATCCTGTACTGAGCTTATAAGAACAATGTAATGAATTCCAGCTGATTAAACACGATCGGACTGATGACCTCCATATTTTCGACAAAGAATCTATTTTTAAGAGATACCGTTTAAGTCAAGGTTATGGATATTCGCTAATTTTGAAGAGTTAATTTTGTATTCTTCGGATGTTCTTGCAACTTTTTCAACTTATGTTCAATAAAACATCAATTAAGTAACATAATCATTTACATTCGCTGCTAATGATGATGATATTTGATGCTAATTACAGGAGCCGTCTATCGTGGTTGATTTCGAAATAAATTATATCTTTTGTTGAGGTTTCGGTCACTCTTTAAACAAAAACGGATATTGTGCAATTATTTTTCATTTACTAGGACTGCGTTCACAATAAGCTTATACCATGCCAATTTTAGCATTATTCGTTCCAAATGTTATGATGCTAAACTAAAATGGTTGGTAGTTCTCGTTCCAATCCCACTTTATTTATCCAAAGTTATGCTACTTTTGGATGCATATTCAAGTTTAACCAGAAATGGTTTTAATGAATTTGATTGGTGGATTTGAACATTTGAATAAAGTAAGGTTAATGTTTTATTTATATTACCTCTAACAATAGAAATACAGCTTTCTTCATCATTTCTATATGATGGAAAGTACAATTTATGGCTAGCATTAGTATTATTTGTCTCTGCTGATCCATTGTCAACAACTAAAAACTAAACTCAAAAAGGTAGAAATACAAATTTAGGTTACAGCAGAAGAACACTAGAAGTGATTGACAATTGATGACTTTTGTCGTTCCAAACTCTACAGAACTGCAAATGGATATAATGGGAGGGGGTAATCACTTGAACAAGTTAGGCATAAGCTGTAGTTGAACGCAGGTAAGTTGGTGAATTAAAATATAATTAATTGTCTTTTAAATTAGTCAATATTTATGATATCTTTAATACAATACTAGATACAGAAGCACTTTATTTTCAAAAGTTATTTCTTATCCTATTATCGCTGAATATACAGGTCAATTAGGCCCAACAGATAAATGAAACATTCAATATCTGTTATGATGTTATTATCCCTTTTTTTTAGACTTAATAAACTTTCGACACTAAATGATAACGAAATAGTTTCCTTTTTTAACTGGAATTTGTTCAAAATTTCTCATTATCTGTTTAGAATTATTTTATTAAAAACGAATTATAAACTCCGGATATGAGTAAAGTTGTTCAAATTATAATATGTAATATATTAAAATAAGTCCTATCTAAATAAGTACTCGCATTTACTTTTTTCATTATTCTAATTTATTTTCTCATGTTGTATTTGTATTATTAATATTATTATCTATACAAATTTACGATTAGAAGTGTGCCAGCTTACCTTTACCACTTTTTGCTTTTGATTAAAATAAACGCGTTTTGGAATGACTGACATACTTGTTACTAATAGTTTTTTTATCGTAAAACCTTTTTATTGTAAAACCATAATTATTGAATATTGATTTTAAGAGATGACACGGTAATATGTTTTATAAATCTACAACAAATGACTGTTTGTTTTACAATACCACATTACTTGTTTTCATGAAAATTAACAGTAAATAACAATCCAACAACACTTAATTGCTTTATTTTTATGAAGTTGTGTTGTATAAAATACAGAGTGTAACGTAAAGGTTGGGAATAAATTAAACAGTGGATTCTTCAGTTTAAAAAATAATTTTTTGTCATATGAAGTTATGGTCTACGGGTTTTCTTTTCCAAGCTACAGGAAAAATTTAGTTTTTCTCCAATAACTTTCGAACATTAGAAGATAATGGAATGCAATTTTATCCATAGCTTAATTTGATAATTCCCTAGTAAAAGGATAAAGATTGGCTTTGTAAGTTGCTCAGTGGCGTGCATACGAATTATATCGTAAGGTTTTTCGAAGAAAATTGTGGTAAGCCACTGGCGAAAACATTTTTTTTAAATTTTTTTATGATCCACTTTTTATTTTAAACAAAATTACCCTCTTGCGTTTTATTCCTAGCTTTTGTCACTTTTCCGTAAATAAACGTTTTGTAAATATCATTTTTTCCTATTGCTAACATAGGAAAATGAAAATAAAAACATTATATATAAGTATGCTTTGACCAAGTCACCAAAATTTGTTTTCAGATGTTTTCATACAAAACATCATTGTCAGTCATAACATCTAGCTTTCCTTAAGCGGTTGTACTTTGGTTTAGATCTGTTAGAAATGGAATACTCATTTCCAGAATTAGCTGGTATGCATTTTATTTACGGCCTTGCCAACGGGAATACTATGTTAGCTGTGCGTCTTTATGTTGAACGTTTTCCAGCTCGGTGTATTCCAAATAGGAAGACTTTTTCGAGAATTCATGTGCGCTTACGTGAAACCGGCTCGTTAAAACCTTGCACCTCCGGCGGAAGATCTCGAAATGTAAGGACAGTACAACTTGAAGTACCACATCCTTCAGATGATCGAGGTGAATCGTAAATCAAGTAGGTACTAGAAGAATTGGAAGAATGGAGAGAGTAAGTCATATGACTGTCCAACGAATCCTGCATGATAATCTGCAAAGAGTTCAGGCGCTTTCTGTCGAAGATTATGCACCACGTCTTAGATTTTGTACCTGGTTTTTAAATAAGTGCAATCGGAACTTGTTATTCCACCCATCCATTTTATTTACCGACGAAGCTGGATTTACAAGGGATGGTATAATTAATTTCCACAATAGTCATATGTGGGCTGATGAAAATCCGCATGGAATAATACAATCCCGGCACCAGCAACGATTTTCAATTAATATTTGGGCCGGAATAATTGGCGATTTTTTTTATTGGCCCCATAGTACTACCAAACAGACTAGGCGGTTTATCGTATCTGGATTTCCTTCAAACAGATTACAACCTTTATTAGAAGAAGTTCCAATTGAAACACGCCAGAACATGTGGTTTATGCATGACGGCGCCCTCAATGAAACGTTCCCCAATAAATAGATAGGTCGTGGAGGGCCAAAAGCGTGGCCTGCTCGTTCTCCCGGACTTAATCCATTAGACTATTATGTGTAGGGGGCACTTAAAAAACATAGTTTATTCCGTTCCCATTTCTGATGTACAGATTCTTCGTCAAAGAGTTGAAATTGGCTGTCAGCAAATTCGAGATATGCCTGGTATTTTTGGACGAGTAAGAGAATTTATGAGAAAATGCATTGAAAAATGTATTGTAAGTTGGGGGGGCAATATTTTCAGCACCTTTTGTAATCTTGTTCATTACTTCTTATTACCTACTCAATGAATTCTTTAAATTCCAAGTCACTAGTGTTTTTTTTATTATTGTTAAAATAATGTGATATTTTAATATCATTTTCAAAACAAACAAGTCTTTTTTAATGCGTGTTTGACCATTTTCGGTAGCTGAGTCAAAGCATACATCATAATGTTTTTGTTATTTTCATTTTCCTATGTTAGCAGCGGGAAAAATGGTATTTGCAAAAGTTTTATTTACGGAAAAATGACAAGAGCTAGGAATAAAACACAAGAGGGTAATTTTGTTTAAAATAAAATGTAGATTACACAAAAATATTAAAAAAATGTTTTTACCAGTGGCGTACCACAATTTTCTTCGAAAAACCTCACGCTGCAATACGTACGCACGCCACTGAGTAACTTACATAGCCAATCTTTTTCCTGTTACTAGGCGATTATCAAATTAAGCTATGAATAAAATTTCATTCCATTATCTTCTAATGTTCGAAAGTTATTGGAGAAAAACTAAATCTTTTGAAATTTTTTAGCGCCCTGTAGCTTGAAAAAGAAAACCCGTAAAGCATAACTTCATATGACAAAAATTTATTTTTTAAACTAAAGAATCCACCGTTTAATTTATTCCCAACCTTTACGTTACACCCTGTATATATAATCATTTTAATAATGGACAACTGTGTATCGCATCCAATAGGTAGGTACTGGTGTTTGAACATTACAAAAGCCTGAAACAGAAGAAAGTTTTTTTTCCTGATAGTTTCATAGTATCTACGAATTAGACTTTGTTTTTTAATTGTTGGAAGCGGATTAATATTTAAAAACAACTCAGAAAAACAAGAAAAAGCTATTGATAATTACAAATTATGCGCTTTTGATTATTATTATTTTTAATACCATATGATTGAAAGGTCAAGTATAAAAACAAAAAAAAAAACATGTGATTTTCTCCGCTATAGTGCGAACCTTGACATTGTTGTGATATTTTAAGAAATAACAGGACAAATTTTTTAGCTACAATTTTAGTCTATTTTTAAATTGTGAAGTGAAAATATAGGAAACGAGTGACAGACAATTTGGGGGTTATATCACATTCATGGATTAATCTGAATCTTTGTAAAAACATTGTTAAAGCCATTCAAAACTAAAATAAGTGATATTTTCTTTCAATGTTTTCCACATTGTTTAATAATTTGATGTATATGTGGTTTTTCATTAGAATTATTTGGTAATTTAATTTTATAATTAAGTATATAATTTTCGGCGACTAACAACTGGTCTACGAAGTTTTTTGTTCAGTACGTTTAGCATATCTACACTGTAAATAACTGGTATCAGTGACCACATTATAGGTGACAAATGTATTCATTGAATCAAATTATTGAGCATATTTTCATTTAATACCTAGATCTACAGTATTTTGATAATTTCACTAATTTATTTCAACTAAAACCGATTTCTTTTGACTCAAATAAAGGTACCGATTAAACAAGTACTCTGAATTAACTCGTATTTAGTGCACCTGTAGGTAAATAGAGTAACTGTCTTCATTTTTTGAGTCGCCCCCTCCTCCTTTCATAACTGTATGCGTTGTTTATTATTCTCCTTTGCCTCCCATTGTGTTTAATGCAGTGATTTAGTTACAATAATAATGTTATAATTATAATTAAAAACAATAAGTATAATATTGAATGGATTAAAATTCCATCCTGGGTCAAATCAGGACACATTTATAGACCACATTTTTCTATTTTTGAAAATCAAAGAAATTGTCGATATATTTTTTGTTGATATATAACATTTTTTTGTACTATCAGAAATGTTGCTGGATATATTTGTTTTCTATAAAATTCTTAGTTATTGATAGCTTGAGTTTGGGTCTGTTTTTCAACATATCTAGATATTGATGTCAAAGAACATACCCATACCTGTGATTTCAGCACATGAGAATTTTATAGACTTGATTTAAGTTAATTAATAACTTCGTGTACGTTTTAAATGAGTACATAAAAAAAGTAAACGTTCCTATAAATATTTCGCATAAAATTGTCAAAGTAAAGAACCTAGTCCTTATCGAAAAATAATAATGATGTATCAGCATTATATATTTTGAAATCGATTTTTCATATCTGATATAAATGTTTGAATAAAATTCTCATGGAATATTTTCTATATCCATCTATGTAATAATAAGCAGGTTTAGTAAACTAGGTAGATATCGACCATCTGTTGTATAGTGATCAAATAAAAGATAAAAATATATTTATCAGACGTCGTAAATGTGTGATAATGCAATATTTAGGTGTAAAATAACATGGATATGTTGGCAATACCTCTGTGTAGTATGAAAATGCTCCTTCCTTAGGTTGGTAGTGTTCACAGGTATTGTTGCTATGTCCAGTTGTTTAAAAAATATATATAAATAAAAATACATATTATATACATGCATTTATATATTATCTCTGGAATACCTATAATAAAAGTAAACTGTTTTTAACAAACTGTTGCCATCATGTGCTGCCGCTGTTTCGTTTTGAAAGTTAACCTCCAATTATTGCTATAAAAAAATTTACTCACCTCTCTAACCTATCACCTAATAACGTACTCCGGTCGCTACGGAGTGGATTGTACAAGTCATCTACATCTAAAGTTTTTTGGTATCCCTTCTTGAACATGCCAATCGTGTACCTGTAACAAACGTCTGTCATTATTTCAGTGTTCAAACTTACAATCAGTTTGATACAACAGTAGTTTATTTTTTGTCTTCAGCCTCAGAAACGATGTTTCTGAGGAGGTACGTCGTTTCTGAGGATGAAGACCAAAAAGTATTTATTTATAGTTTAGAATTATTTGATTTCAATAGTTTGTAAGTATTATAGATACGCAAGAAATATCTTCAAATGAGATATTAAGTAAACTCTAAAATTTTTCTGTTGTTCTTATATCTAGGTAGGTATATGATATAATTATATTAAGAAAAATGTCCTAAAAATGTTTTACTTGCCATGATGATTTATTTAAAATTGAGAACATTATCAGTGGTTTTCAAGATTTTATCGAATTTGTAGTTAGAATAAAATTTAATATAAGTTTTATAAAATGCTATTTACAGTATAACAGAAAAGGCTTTTAGCGGTAAATAAAAATCTAAAGTTCGCAACAGTATATTATACACCAAGTTTGGAAAAGTTAAACATTACTGCAAGAGTACGTATACAATTTTTTTCGCATTTTGTACTAATAGTTTGAAAAAATTATATTCTTACTACATTACATTCAATTTAAAAAAATGTAAAAGTTAATGTACGAGTAGGTAGTCCAGATTTTCTGTAACGTAATAATCTGACAAGTACTGTTTATTTACAACATTCAACAAATATTCAATTATTTAATTTAAATTAAAATAATGATATAATGTCATAGAACAAGAGGTTAGGTCCAAAACAGTAAAAAAGAAATGCAGTTATTTAAATAATACTAATGTATAGATAATCCATACTATTGCCTATTATTCAATGCTTCCCTAGTAGACCGACCCTTTCATTTTCCCCAGCGCCAGCGGTAAAAGAATACACTACATATGTTTCGCAAAACCCCAGCCCTCTTGTTGGTAATAGAAAAATACTAATAAATTTATAATAGGATTAAATGAACCATGCTGGGGATTTCCGAAAGCAGAAATGATGTTACATCTGCCTGTCGTTCCCGTATTTGTTTCGACCGACAATTGTGCTGATTCATGCTCGTGTATTTCTTTAGCTGGCATCGGAAATAACAGATGAATACGTAATTACCCTAGGGTACGCCCTATCATTAACTTTCAATTGTCGGTAATCTGTTCGGTCATAGTTTGCCTGATTTAAATTGAATTGTTATATTTTTGGGGTTATAAGAATATATTTTACTATTTTAAGCAGAATATATTGTAATTAGAAGCAGATAAACAAAAAATATGTCAACAGAACTATCAACATTTTTTTGCACGGAAAGGTAGGTTTTAAAAACGAAAATAGGTTAATTAAATGAATTAAAATTAAATTCATTATAACTATAACGTTAACTATGATGTGTAAAATTTTTGATTAAGTAAAAATAATTCCATGAAAACAACCCTTAACTGGTCTTTACGCATAAGGGTTGCTTTAATTAATATTTTGTACAATGCGTACGATATTTGTTGAGATATAATTCCAAGAAGACCCCTGCGTCACTTTCTTGGAATTAACCGCATTCGACACTCGAGATAGTTCTAGTGTTATTTTTAACTATTTTCTTTTTGTGAAAGAACAGTGTACTTATAGTGTGTGTATTAATAAGTAAGAATAAATATATCAAAACGGGTACCTACTTAGCAACAATGAATTAATGGACATAATTATATAGTCGCTAATAAAAACTGTCAAGTAAAAGCACCTTTATATTCTGCGATTTGTGTAAATACTTGTGAATGGTACTTGTAAAAAGTCAGCGGTTGTAAAACTGTTGTATAGTAGGTACTTATTAAGAAAAATAATTCTATTTACAGAAAATATTTTTGCCGATCTATTCTTCGTAGTTCGATTTATTTGCTCTTCAGATATGGCATCAATCATTTAGATGGCATTTTTCAAATAAAACGGTATCACTTTATTTTAGAGAATAAATATTATTAATAACGTACAAAACATAGTTTAGTTAATAGTAAATTTGTTTTTTAAGATGCTCTTTTAGAAAAATTTATTATTATACCTAAACATGTGCTTTTAGGATGAAAAAATGACTAGATATATATAGAATAAATTACTAATTAGTTATAATTTAACCTACATCTCCGTCGCCGTCTTTGAAGAACAAGTTCCATTGCTATCATAATTTAACGGCTTGCGATTTTTTATTCTTAATGGATATTACATAACTAATTTCACTTCCTTGTGATAAGGATTTGTAGTTAATATAACATTTTTTCTAAATATATATTCATCTAGATGAGAATGTATTGAATTATGAAGAATAACAACAAAATCGAATCTATTAAATAAATTTATTTAATAACATGCCTTTCTTCGTAATGTTTTAAGCAATTAGGAAGTTACAACCAAAAATTGTAAGCTATTATTTTACTACGAATATAATTATAAACTTATTTGGTGTAGCTACGTTGTCTATTTTATATAACATTTAAAAGGTTATTTCATTTTAATTTGTTTGCTTCGGTACCCATTAAATAAATAATTTAATTTAAGTGATAAACATTTTATAAATCGTTCGATTGTTAAAATCGAAAACTGTCTGTAAAGAATTTTAAATCACTTCCAGGCGAGTATGATAAACCCAACCGTAAAATTATGAAAGGTTATCCCTTTAACGTTTCATCACCACTTGAAATTAATTGGTTCTTGAGGATTTCAGTTTACAATATTCGTTAATTTATAGGGAGATAAATGACACGTAAATACTGCGGCTTAACGAAAAAAAAGGAATTCTCATTTCCTAGTTGCTATTCATCACGGCTAACTGACGTTGACGATAATTAAATGTGTTTGTTGTTATAAGCGCTCTTGAACTTCACCCCACAACCATTAGCCTGGAATCCTTATGCAACTTTCCAGGATGGGACTTCTTCAATTTACATCTTAACAGTTATTTTTTGTTTCTGCTACGATCTTAAATTAGCTATAGGATCGTTTCTATAATTGAAATTCTATGTAAAATATATAAATAAACCTAAAGTACTTAGAGTAATTAAAAAAAAGAAACGAGAATAAATTTAATTACAGACCGCTACCTACATCTTGCATATTTCGCATCGTTGCTATGTAAGTTGCTAGTCAACAGATTCGCTATAAAATAATTCGTGTTCGGTCTGCTGTTGTAGATCATCATCATTACAGAGGCTTAGAGAATATGACGTACAAGAAATGTTATCGATTTGCTTCTCTCAGCATTTTCTATGAACTGTACTTTACGGATAATTTCCTAGTTATCTTCAATAAATCTGGATTCCTTAATATGGAAGGTGATAGTGATATCGTCTTCGAATTAACACCGCTAAACGTAACAGAAGCAATGAAATGAACAATAACTAGTTTACTACTGAAAATTTCGGAAAAAATGCACCAACGCCCATAGGACCTCTTTTTGAAATGGAAACAAGATCAAAATGCAAAATGTTTGCCTAGAACGTTATACTGTCATATTTTGGTGACTTTTTGGGGAAAATGTTTCTCTTTAAGAAAACAAACAAACCAATGCTGGGAAGGACTACTAGTATCCATAATATGTAATATAGATATTACACCTAAATGTCAAATTTTATCAATAAGTAAAGAAGCTTAAAACTATAACCAAACTAGTACGGAATTTTACTATAGAGGGTCATTACTATAAAATTTATAGAAAATATCAAATGTTAATAATTTTTCATTAAATATTAAAAAGTATCGTTCGATGAATAAGCCTGAATAAGCTGCAAAATCAGTTGCAAAATTGCAAAACCAGTGGTTACTGAACGAGGCCTAAAATTTTATGAGTGAATGTCCAAGTTTAGGGGGTTTACTCAAATTCGGCTCGTGTTCAATTAGACTGACTTATGAGATCGAGAAATTTGATGAATTTTGGGCTATATCTGGGGAATTTCTTCATTGAGAAATAAGCCGTTAGAGGTTGATCGGAGGTCCTATTTAGAGGACCAATTGCATGGGGCCTTCTCACTCACAGTTTTAGTTACAAAGTTGATCTTCAATTAGTAATTGGTTAATCGCAATTGGTTCATTATATCGTATTCCAAGTCCTGAGTATATTCACTAAATTTTCGAATTTGACTTCGAAGCCATTTGCACAGTCTTTACATATGTGCGGAAACTTTAAGTAAAAGTAACTGCCGATACTCGAGGTCATGTAGCCGACCAGGCGAATCAAAATTTTCACCTATGTTTGAGATCGAAAATATTACCTACATATCACCCGAAGAAGCACAGATAACTCTTGCGGGATGCTTTAAATTTCAGACGTTCTGATTTTTTTCCAAAACGCCCGAAATGCCGCGACATCCGAGCTGGGAGTTGCCTTACATAAACCTACAAACACAGTAAGAAATGCATTGACGGGGAAGTCAATAGCAATGAATCGTTCGAATCCGGAGAGGCCAAATGTCAGAATCCATACCAAAGAACAGTGTCCGAGAATTGATATGAAACGGGATCAAATTTCGACTTTAAGACCTTGCAGTTATGTAACCAAGTAGAAGTCTCTGGCGAATTTATGTGCACGATCCGCATTGAAGCATATTTGTTGCCATTAGATTCCTAGAAACCGCCGTAGCCTATTTAGAGGCAAATACGTTCCCAAGGATCCACATGGCAGGTCCAAAAATCTAAATGTTGTTGTTGACCGAATTTCAAGTTTTACCACATATATAGCTGTAAAACTCCTGTACTGGTGACACATCAATGTACTGTAAAAAGTTACAATAATACATTTTTTTTTCAATTCAAAATATTGTTTAAAAACTGTTGCACCGCTCGAGACCTAAATCATCAATCTAGTATCCAATCCACCCAGAAGTGTGCCATCACAAATGTGTATCCAGTGTTATTTAGATTGAACAAATCAGAGTGTGGACTAAGCTTCCAAGCAGAACAACCAGCCGACATAGAGAAGGACTGACTAAATGTGATGTTGTCTCCTCCATGTATCCGTAGTCGTAGATG